GAAGGGGAGGGGCAAACGATTCAATAATAAGCTTCTTCCAACTATCATAAAATCTCACCTCGCAGAGCTCGCACGGGATGGAATACCCTATGGAAAGAGGATAGTCATTTCCCCCTAGTAAAGGGAAGGAGCATGCAGGGTAGCAAGAAAATTTCGCGCCAGTTTTCATTTTTATGAGGCACAAGGAATCGTGAAATTAAATCGCTCGCGGAAAATTTTCCGAAGATTCTCCACCATCGTTGATGCAACGTTGTCCAGAGTTTAGCACTGAGAGCTAGTCTCTTTTTTCGAACTCGTTTTTTTATTATTTTAATGCTCTTTCAAGCTCATCAGCATGCGTCAATCCTTTGTGACTTGGGCAATCCAAGGCAACTTCTGAGCGACCCAGTAAATTCCAGGGTCTCCCTGGTACTCTTCCGAATCTAGATATCAGTCAAACAGCATTCATGGATCTACTCTGGAATTGGTGTGTGNGATCTGGATCGCTTTAACAGTTTAGTGTTCAGAAGCAGACAATCGATGGGAGGGGGGGGGGGGGGGTTGACTGGGTTGGACCTCGGCCTGTTGGGGTCCCTAAGGGTCTTGTTACAGAGATTCATTTTAGCTTCTTTCTGAGGATTCTTTTTTTTTTTTCCTGTTCTCCCCTGCTCCCTGAAGGCTCATTTCGTCCTAGATAAGATCTCCCCCTCAGTTATAGTCGAGTCACTGAGAATATGGGCAGTAGAAGTAGAAGAAATGAGTCATTAAGGGTCTCCCCGGCTTTTGTCGGCGGATTAACTTCTACTGCATAAGACGTTTATTTCTATCTACTCATGACATTCTGACACGGATGCCCCAAGTCTTCTCTATAGAAAACAGAAAAATAGCTAGGTTCCGCACATATAACATATACAAGACACAGAAAAGCAATACATGGAGTTCTAAAAGTATGCCTACAGGAAGATAGAAAGGTTCGTTATTCTACCCGGTGAATCTTCTTCAGTCATAATCAGAGGATGGATAGTGCTTGAAGTTTTATATTAAGCATTCCTGCAGTCCTCTTGAATAAAAATCGCCAGTGGTAACCCAGTTTTTCTCAGCTGAAGACTAGGGAAGGAGACTCGGCTAGCTGACATTTTCATTTACCTCTAATGGGGTAACCTGTCAAACTCGCCAAATTCCCAGCGACTCGACTATACCGAAAGCATGTAAAACGTGCATTGCCTCGCTCGTCTAATTTTTCGGATGCGCCGTTCAGTACCCGGCTGAGTACGATCTTATTCGGTCGCTATGATCACACGACATTTGGGCCTTGCTGTGGCGCTGAAGTCAACGCGATGATCTCACTTGCAGCGAACATGACGTTTCGATCGGTGAATTGCCTATGGATGGGCTCCGTCGATGACGACCTGGATGCAAGGTCCGGGAGAGCACACCTGGTCGGTGGGTGCGTGGCGTTCTGCGCTCCTTGCCTCTCGTCGACTCCGTTCCAGGGGCTGTCAGGGGTCCGACTGGATGATGCGCATGATCCCATCGGCACTAAATATGGCTGCTCTGTTCCTTGCATTCTCGTTTGTTGCGTAAAGAAAGCAGCTTCAGAGGCCTATGTTTACGTCTATGTTCTGTGGCTTCCCGATGCTTGCAGCTTGTAATAATTAGTCATGCGGACTTAGGTAAGACCTCGGGCTGAACAACTGACGACGGGGCGTATTATACGCCTCAGCTTATCGCATATTAGGCCTGGTAATGCTTATCTAGGGAGAGCAGAAAGCCTCGGCCTAACCGTTCTCCGCGGCAACATTAGCCAATGATGGTGTAACGATACCTTAGGTCCTTAGGTCGTTCCTATGAAAAACATGGTTTTTGCTAACCTCATGACCGGAGCCTAATTTGAAAGCCCTTTTGCAGCTCTACTGTAGATCTGGTGATGTAGCCATAGGGATGTTGGCAACTGCGTATTCAATTGCATATTTCACCGATGCCTACGATTTTAGGTCAAGACCCAGAATTTTACAGCCAGATTTAGCACTAGCTAAAGCCACATTGTATTGTATAATGTTAGCCTAATAGCATCCAGCTGGCAAAAATGTGAAACTGGGCATAGAAAGCAGCAGTGAATGATGAGTCAGTATCATCAGAGCCAGGCATGTTGTTATCTAGTGAGATGTCTTATCTGTTTTAGTCATTGCATCGTGGAATAAGTTTATAGGAAAGGAATGTGAATGTGTGAGGTTGGAATTGTCCTTGTTGCATTCCTTCTGTTCCATATCCTGTTGTCAACTTGAAACTTACATGTGGCTTAATGTTGGATTCCTTCCACATCACATGTGCTCCCTTTAAGTCTAGGCCTACATCACTCATGACATGTCAATACATTGTGCACAACTGGACCTAACATTGATCAAGATTCTTGTTTTATATGACTGATAAGCATATGTGCATCAAGATATGAAGTAGGACTTATTTCTACAAGGAAGGCTAGAAGGCAAGCCAAACTCTAGTACTGAGGAGATGGGGAGGGTCGATGTAACGAAGTAAACCTAGCCAGTGTTCAGTGGCTGGTACATGATTGAGGCTAATATTGGTGTTGGAAGTATTGACCCTGGCTTTTTCTATTTCTCCATTTTTTAAGCATTCAAATATGTTTTAAACTGGAACACAAATGTGGGGGCCATGGTATCCTTTTACCTTGTTTGCAGCAAAATTGGTGTGGCAATACCAGAATTATGCAGGCAAATAAAACTACAAGGAAATGGACTGAGTTCTTGAATCAAGACCAGTATGGAGGAGGGAGGCAGGTGTACTCACCTTCTGAAGATGAGGATACGGAGTTTTGAAGGTTTCAACTATAGTACTGCGTTTTGCTTGAGGGAAATATAATCCTGGTGGTACTGTTGATAAGGATGTAACAATGTACTGACTATCTTAATATTTTATGATTATTTCCATTGATGAATTCCACACTTCAAACTTGTCATGTCAGCCATAAGAAGAAAATGAAATGCATGCAAGTGTTTGAGGATATCAGAGTACAATGAGTGGGAGTCTTTTTTCTTGGATAAGAAAAACATCAGTGGCTCAGTTGGGCTTTTATGTGTACATGAATCTGGATGAAATTTGCTCAAGTCACTGAAGTCCAGAATAGTAGGAATTCAATCAATTGTTCTTGGTGTATGCATTCTCTGTTTGAATACTTTCATATACAGTGTTTCTGGATTGACTTTAACCCCCCTATCCGTGATGCTGTTGCCTGCAGTGAAGTGAGAGACATCTTGTCTTTATCATCATAACTAATGACATGCTTATAAGCTTCACAAGTAGCACAACGGTAGAGGTGTAAGTGGGTCAGGTCGTAAGATCCCGTTTTGAGTATGACACTGCCAGCATAAACAGAAAGTGAGTATTGTACAATAAGAAAATTAAAAACGCTGCTGGAATCCATATTGACTCAGGCCAAAACTGTACCACTTGGCGGCAGGGGTCATGAAAAAATGGAAAAGACAAGTAAATATAGGGACTTGGACACAGTGAGTGTCCCCCTTCCCTGATACAGTAGACAGGCTATGGACTTCATCATGGGATTGTGAGATTTTCATTGATAAAGATATTTTATGAGTGAAAGAAAAACATGGAAAAGAAAACCTTCAATGATACCAAGGAAACGATACTGAGCATTTTCGTCCCGGAAAGCACTTCTGTAATGAGTGCTAATGTACGTGCTAAAGATATTGAAATCTTTTGGCACACGTCAGGAGGACCTCCTGTATGTCTGGTCCTCATATATTCAGCCCGTTCTTGAGTACACCTGCGCTTCCTGGAATAGCTCCCTGCTCAGCCGAGCCGTATTTACCGTCGAACAGGTGCAGAAGCGTGCCCTGCACTTAATCCTTGAGCATAAATATGAAACCTATGAAAAGGCCCTGTCAACCCTGGGCATCCCATCCTTGCAGAAAAGATGACTGGATCTTACATCTAAACATACCCATGCCCTTCTAAAAAAAATCCATCATGATGGCATCCTACTGACAATGCCCACCCATGAACCTAAGAAACATCTCATCTCTCTTGCAAAAGCATAAATGCCGCATGCGCAGATTCTACCAGTCTGTAATTCCCTTCATGACCTGCTTGATAAACCAGAAAACTACCAGTGAAGACCGCCACACTGGCTCAGTACAACCCCCTTAATTTTGTTACCCATTCTATGTCTACCCTTTGACGATGGGATGCAATTTGCTGATGCATACTTATTCCAGAACCATGAATAAATCACTATTATTATTTTATTTTTATTTATTTATTTATATTGAAATCTTCAATCAAACATAATTTAATTACTTTATATTTAGCTGAAGTATATGATTTTGCCATATACTTTGCACATAATACTTTATCGACTCCGACACTGGTCACTGACCACTGTCTTATGGCAAGATTGAGGACTCGATTACGCTTCTATTGCTTGAAGTGATGTCTATTGCTGGTGTCAGAAGTACTACTTTGCTGAGTGCCAACAGGGTCCATTGGGAAGTATGGAGCCCATGTTAATGGGAGTTAAAGTCATTCTGGAAACACTGTAGACACCATTGCCATTACTAGTAACAAAAATGCAATATGTGGCATGGGGCATACACAGTGAATCTGGTATGGCAATTAAGATTTATTAAATAGTATGTTGCCTCTTAGACAGCAAACCTTGAAGCATTTTGAGGCCCTTGCTACAAAGCTAGTGCTGCTGAGGTATGAGGTGTCATACAGCATTGTGTATGAATGTTTTTGGGATAGCCTCATTTATAGGTAATTATTCAGTGGTGCCAAAAGGTTGTTTCCTCATAGGAGGGAGATACATTTGTATACATTGTGGTTCAATTGCTATTCTGCTTGCTTTCCAGAAGTATATCCCCATATGATCAAGCCTTGATGTAAGCCCAGTTTACATATAGGAGGAAGTTCCCAAAGTCTAATAGGTCTATGGTGCATTGTAACAATTTAAGAGTAGTACCTTGTACTAATTTAGTACCTTTACTTTGTTTTCAGAACTTAAAGGTCCTCATCATTTGGTGTGAAGACAATGGCTGGAGGACCATATAGCTATTCATATATATTTAAATACATCATCATTGGAGACATGGGAGTTGGGAAATCATGTCTCCTCCATCAATTCACAGAAAAGAAATGTAAGTTGAGTCTGTTGACCCACTGTCTCATCTGGAAGCTTATTACGAAACTTATCAGGAATAATTTTACATGTCCTGCATGAGAATAATTAATGGATCTGTAACCCTATTACTATCATTCTGCATTTAATTTTGAGTGAATTTGGATTTTGCAAAGCAATTAAAGTATATTTGATCTTGTAGATATATCAAGTTATTATACATCTTAGGTTTGGTGTGTGCATGGCCAATGTGGTCAGAAGTTATTTCTAAGACTGAATGTAAAAGTAGGTTAGTTGCCCTTACTTACAAAGTCTCATTCACCTGATAGACAAAACTTTGAGCATTCATGTTTTTTTTTTTAGTGAAAAGTACTCATTGAAGTATGTTCCAAGGTGCCTCGACAAAGCAGGACTGTTCAACTGGTTTAAGGGAGGAACTCCCCAGTGAAGATTCTCACTTGAGAACCATATTATAGCCATCCTAAACCCAGTGTTTAAACTTGCATACAGTGCTTATCAAATAAATTCATCCCCTCTTACTATGGGCTTCTACAATGCATCTGCAGATACCATAATGACTAATACCATCTAGTCAATGTAGATGTTGCCCACATCACTGTCTTCTGCATCCTCTCAGCAGTTGAGAAAAGTGTATTCATCCACTCTTAGTTTCCTATCAAAATCTTGTCTAGTTATCCTATTATTGAAGACTCTAGTAGGAAGATGATCCTGTATAAACTCATCCAGGAAAAGAATGTCAGTTTGATGGTTGTAAAAGCTATGTGAGGATGTTGAAAAGCTGTTATATTCAATGATAAAAATATTGATAGCATATTATGTTGATGAAGAAAATGGGATTGGCTCAGACACAAAGTACACCTGCTGCTCTAATTAATTTGAGATTGAAATGAAATGGCTATAGAATGGCTATGTGTATATACTGGATTTCTGGTTTTAGCTCTTCACTTAGCAGGATTTAACCCTTTGGGTGCTGTGCGGACAATTTTTCAGACATGTATGCCTGCTAAAGATGCCAAAGGTAGATTTTTCAGCCACAGCTTTTCATAAGGCCTCTTCCATTATGTAGTTGGGGTTTGTTTGATGACATAAAATTGGCCTACAGAATTTTTGGAAGTGGTGGATGTGACCAAAAAATTGGCTGCACGGCAACAGTTAAGGTGCTTGTTTACTTTCACATGACCATGAATTCAGTTGCTAAAACTCACTGTCACTGATCAAAAATTCTCTCAGTTGCCACCAAACACATTTGTTACCTTGGTTCTGCAATGTGCTATTTGGTACCTCTACACCTTCACAAGATGGGGACTTCTCTGCATCTACATGTTCCATGCATTTGGCCATAGGAATTCTTTCCCTTCATGATCACATCCACTTGAGTTAGGATGAATATCCATGTACACAGTTATCCTCAATGCCCCAGCTTCTTTCTCTCACTCACTTCAATCTTGAGAATCGCATCAACGATACTCATTCACTAATGATGGATTTCACAATCATGGTTTTGACCCAAAGGGCGAAAAATACAACTGTGCTCTTGGTACCTGTGACCAATGAAACACATTTTCAGCTTTCTCCTCATCTGTATTCTATTCTCGTCAAACTTCTTACATTTCTACTTATTATCCATCAACATAGGCATAGACTGGGATCCACTCCACATTTCCACTCCTTCAATGAAAAAAAATCAAATAGAATCAAATGTACACTGCCATTTGGAATTTTCTTGGGTGGGAGTAAGCTTCAGCGAAACCCAAGGCATTTTTAAAATGAATTCTTAACTGGTTTGTTTCGCTGGGGGAATTTTTGACAAGTGTGCATAGCTCTGAGAAAATTGCATGGTATTCTTTGCTCATACATTTACTTGAAAATGTTTTGGCATGAGTCAAAAGTGGAGAGAATAGAGAATATTATTTAAAAATAAAATTTGGGCATATTACCCATTAATCTAACTGTACAGAAATAGTTTTCTTGATTGATATTTAAAGGAAAAAACGGTGGCAATAGACTTTAATCATCTATTGCTAGGTTCTAAAGATGGAGGGGCAGGTCTTTTGTGTATTTGCACACAGGGGGAACTCAGTCCTTTATTATTACATCAATGGGAAAATTATAAGTAATCAGGCTGGACTGGATGAATGGGAAATATATTTTTAAATCCTACATGCACCCTAGAGACCTTCCTGGACCCCACTTCAAGCCACTCCACCTAATTTGAGATGTTTGATTGATCTGTTAGGGGAAATGAATCCATATATCTCATAAAGCCCTTCTGACTCGGGAGATTTACTTCCAGCATTAAATCATTCTTATTTCTTCCATTCTCTCTGTTACATAATCCTTTCCAGGCTGTGTCTCCCATTCTTACCGCTATATACCATATTTTCATCCTGTCCACATGGAACCAACAACATCTCAAATGACAAATTTCAACTAAATTTTTGGGATACCATCTATGCACATTGGGTGAGACACCAGGTGACCCAGAAGTTCCTAACTTTACACAATTATGGATGAAACTCTATGGAAGGCATCTTTAGGAAATATATTTAGTGTCACATGTGCAATTGTGAAATTTTCCTGAAAAAAGACTATTTCTGCTGAAATGTTTGCATATCACCTACTCACGTTGTGTCACCCCATGAACATTTCCTTTCATTATCATCTATTGTTTTCCCTCCATAGGCTTCTGAATTTGGGAACTTTTTGGGCCACCTGGGATTCAGGGTAACCCAACTCACAAAATTTTCTTAGGAATGAGGTAGCATAAAGAGCAGAAGCGACTTGTTCTAATTTTCCTGTGACAATTAATGACCTGTTCTGTGTACATCTTACCCCACATGGAATGGAACTCATTCTTGTGTGAACTTGCATTCCCCATTTATCATTTCATCACCAGATATGATGCATAAAATGTGATTAAGAGTCGTGAAATAACTATTGATCCCCAAGCCGAATAAATGCTTTAGGGAAGGCCTATACTAAGATAATGCCAGCCTCTAAGACAAGAAAGGCTTTCGTAACCTCTATGACTCGTGACTCAAGGCACAGCAGTGGAGGGCTCTATCTGGAAAAGCCAATCGTGTAGAGGGATTCCATGTCGGAAGTGCGGCTAAAATTTTTCCAAAGTTCCTCTGTTTTCTACATGATGTTATTCTGTATGCACACAGATGAAATTTCAAAATCATGTAACTGTACTTTCCAGCTCTGCATGTGTCAAATATGAAACCAATTCCACTTGCCATCCAGGAGAAATCAACCATTATGTCATCTGACTTTTTTGTCGTTTCTCTGTGGCAAACTGGTTAAAGGAGAAGGATGCCGAAAATTAACATTTTCAATTTCATGTAGCTCATCTTTTGAATCATGTCTGACAAGAATGAAACAAATTTGGCAACTGGATGGGATTGCAAATGTGGATAGCATAACAATTTATCAGATGAAAAACAGATGTCATCTCTCATCTTACAGCAAGCAGTGCCACCACCTACTACAGTACTACAGGGAGGGAGTGATTTCATTCAATAAGCTATCTATGTTTTTGGGTTGCATACCAGATGGAGAAGAAATGAATGCTGAACAACCGTCATATTTCTCTGGCTTTCTGCCTCCACCAGTCCAACATCACCTCTAAGTTTTTCCCCTGTCATGTTTAAGCAGGCAATGAACTCTAATGAAAACATTATGACCTTGTTATACTATGCTGAATAATTTTCATTAAAAAATATTATTTTGTAACTTTTTTGTGGCCTTATAAGTATTATTCTCATCATCTGTGATATATTTGCAGTCATGGCAGACTGCCCCCACACAATTGGAGTGGAGTTTGGAACAAGAGTTATTGAGGTGTCGGGTCAGAAGATCAAGTTGCAGATATGGGATACAGCTGGTCAGGAACGCTTTCGTGCTGTGACTCGATCTTACTACAGAGGAGCTGCTGGAGCCCTCATGGTCTATGATATCACCAGGCGAGCAACCTACAATCACCTCAGCAGCTGGCTCACAGATGCCCGGAGTTTGACCAACCCCAATACGGTGAGTATCTGTATTCCTATTTTTTTCATGCTCTAGCACATGGAAGGTTATTTCTCCATGAAGTGGAGGTAAAGAAAAGATGTAAAGGTCATGCAGTCTCAGTACCTGTCTGTAGGCACTTTTCCATCTAAACCTTTTTTCATTCTCTTATCTACAAAAGTCCAAGGAACCACTGGCTGAGAGAATGAGCCAAGGATCATTGAGAGTAAGCTCCACAGCAATTGCACAACTGTCACTTGCAGGCAATATGTTTGGGAATGATCGGGTCTGATTTTATTGTTAGTTCACTTCTGGCTCAATGAAAATGAGAAACTCAAGACAGAAAGCCATTGATGGCTTGGAATGAGTTGTAGGTGGTGTGTTTCATTCAAACCATTCATTTAATGCCTAGACCTGGGTCTAAAACATTCCAAAGTGAAAGTTCTGTCTTAAGTCTTCAGCTGACACACATGAATGCCATTGAAAAGTAAGCAGTACACATGCAGTTTTCGTATGTGCTACTACTTATGATAAAGATGGGTAATCCCGGAACCTATTAACTTTCAAAGTCTTGTTTTTTGGGGCTGGGAATCTGGTTGTTTTCCCCTTTCCCATGCAACTATTCTCTCATAGAACTCTCATTCATGCTCTGGCTTTCACTTCATACTGCTATTGGGATCTCAAAGTTAAGCAGTTAGCACTGCATGATGTGTTTGCATCAAGTTCTTTCATACCAACAAAAATATCAGTTGGTTTTTGCATGAAACTGCACTCACTAAGAGATATTGATGAAAGTCTGAAGTGTGCTAGACTTGCAGTAAACATGCTAGCAAAATCAGAGTTCTGAGAGTGGATTTACTTAAACTTTTGCCAAATTTAAAGCTTGTTGAGTTCAACCAAAATCTTGTGATTGGCTTATGGTAGTATTTGTGAGAGGCAAAAAAACAGCATATTAGCTAGAAAGCTGCCTACTTGAAGGAAGTTTGGATTTGAAATATAAAAGCAAGCCATTAGAGCTTGAAAATTCTTGCCTACTTTTTTTTTTTAGAATAAAATGCCTTCATTGCAGAAAGTGGAAGTTGAAAGTTTTTTAAAACATGTTACTTCTCAAATATCTGAATATTGGGTTGTCCTTGGCATGCATTTCCAGGTTATATTCCTAATTGGTAACAAGTCTGACCTGGAAGCCCAGCGAGATGTTACATATGAAGAAGCAAAGGAGTTTGCAGAGGAGAATGGGCTTCTTTTTATGGAAGCTAGTGCCAAGACGTAAGTTGGCTTGTAGTTTTTTCATAGTTCATTGAGTGATACTGATCACACTCTCCTAGTGATTACATTGTCAGAGGCAATGTAATCACTAGGAGGATTCATTACCCCATCTTTCTATACATGAGTTGTATAATTTGGTTCCTTTCTTTTTTTTACTCTTGTGTAGTGGGGAAAATGTGGAAGAAGCCTTCCTGGAAACAGCCAAGAAGATCCATCAGAATATTGAGAATGGGTAAGTACTAGGAAATTTCCTATTGGGTAATGATAGTTGAAAGCTTTTGCTACTTTGTTTTGAGATGAGGAGTAGAGATCTATGACATCATTGATGGTATCACTGGACCTATCCACTTTTAAGTGCATGCTATCAATTTTGCTATGATGAATTTTCTGCATCTGTCTCAGTATCAATGAAAACAGCAACGCCAAAAGTCTTTTTATATTCCCTAGTTCAGTTTTATCTGCTTCTTTCTTCCATCACATCCTGAAGCATGAAGACACCCATGTCTTAGACATACAATGTGCAACCAAAATGTTATGTTATGAGTACCTGGTAATGTTTTCTAAAAAAAAATTACTAAATCTCTCTTCTGTCTCCATTCAACTTTTCTATCACAATGGAGAGTTTTCGGGGCAAACTGAGCAACTATATCTAAAGTAAACTGATAGAATGCTTCTGTCCAATCATTGAAATATCTCAGTAAAGCCATACCTTATAAATTATAAGCAGTCCTGTTGGCAAAAAGTTAGCTTTGCTGCTTGTGTTTTTTTCTGAAATAAGGTTTAGCATTGAGTGAACCTGATTTCATTTATTGTAATAGTTTGGAGGTAATCCCAAGTGAATCAACGACTGTCAAGCCTCCAGGGTCTGGTGGTACTATGCAACCTAGCAATGCTTCCAATTGTGCCTGTTAGGTAAGTCTTTTCAGGTCCCAAAGCTTTTCATGTCAGGAAATTTCTTTTTGAGGAAAGGTAATGCCTTTCTTTTTTCTCACATTGAAGTGACTGGAACTGTGTGAGGCCATCCATCATCTTGTCTGGTTTCCTGCTACAATTTGATAAATTAAAAGAGTAAGAAGACCACATTTCAGTGCTGGGACCCCATGAACCATTGATATAACCAAGGAAACTTGGTGCAAACAGTGTCTGGTGTCAGCTGTGATATCCATTGGCTCCACAGTGATAGGTAGGTGAATGCCACCAATGTGTATGTTTGTTATGTTATCAGCGAGTTGAGAGGGTGACCTCAGAGGAGCCAGATTGTCCCTTGAAAGAGTGGAAAACTTGTGTCATTACCACTAGGCATGTTTAAACTGAGGTCTCATTTGTAATATCTCTATCTTGGAAAGAATGTCCTTGCTGAAAAAAAAAGTGATTGCTAATTTATTCTTTCAGAATCACAGTACATAAGTGACATATAGTTGTTTACAGGTGATTTCCTGATGAAGCTTGCTCGCAGAAAATATTGAAGTTGAGCATATGTTTTGTCTTTCATGAATCCAAGTTTTGACCATTCACAATTTTTAGTCTTCTCAAGCCTATCAAAAATTTGAAGTTTTTTTCTTCAGTTCAAGTCTTTTACACAATGTGGGTGGTTTCTTGGTTCTCCTTCTGGATGTAATCTTGAAGCAGCTCTTGTAAACACTCTGTAAAAAGAGCAGAATCATGGATGCAGTAGAATCTTGCTGGCCTTTGGTCTGTGTAAGAATTGATGGTTATTGTCCTGATCTGCTTGCTATGGGCCTATCCTGTTGAAACGAAACCTTTCCGAAAGATTTTCTGGAATTGGTTATTTTTTCACATTCATATTCCTTTGCTAGTGTGTATTTCTCTTGCAGCCAATCTTGTGAGCTTGTGATTGTTTTCATTTTATTCTAATAGTGTATAGTATCTTGTGACACTTGACTGTAGTACATGCATACATGTCTTCTTTATATGGGTCTTGAATCACTCCCTTAGTTTATTTGCATTATGCTGCTTTACACACCAGAGAGGCAAGGTCACTTGGGGTCATGTGTCTTGGAATCCCAGTCAGAAATGTATCCAGTGCTTTGTTGTTTTCTTTGATCTCCTGAATCATACATAATTGTTGTTCCCGTGCCACCATATTAAAATGCCAGAAGAATTATTATGGAGTTTTTGTGCCTGTTCTTGATTCTTTTGAAGGCCCAAGTGCATGTTTGGGAGACTAGAACCACCCTTGTGGTGAAGGATGCTGTCATGATTTGTTGGGTATCTATAAGTCTTGAACAGTATTGCCTGCCCAATATTTCTGAATTCCACACTAGACCCTTGATTGTTTTGTTGTTCCTGTTTCATTTGTTATCCCTTATTCAACAGGCATGACCTTGTGCAGTGTGATTGTAAGGAAGTATGCATGGATGACCACATGCAGATTTTTGCATGTTTGAGGAATGAAAAGTTAGAAAAAATCCCATTGTACGATTAGGATAAGAATGAGAGACCAATCTCTGAAAGATTATTGTCCATATCTTCTTTGCACATCTGCGCCAATACTTTTTCTGTAAATCCCAATTTATATTTAAATATACGTGAGATTCAGGTCTGCATCACAGGAAAACAGACTCTGCATTAGGATTAGCATCACATGAACCTCTCCATTGTGTATTTCTTCCTATGTTGCCCAAGTATAGTTTGAATATAGCTCTCAGGCCCTGTGCTCATGAAAATTATTGTCTTGCAAGGTAGGTTTGAAGTGAGGAAGTGACTTGCTCTCAAAAAGTGTTGGTGAACAATAATACTAGGCAATTTCATATGCCTCAGACATATTCTATTGATTCATGAAAATTTATTGTAAACAGAAACGATGTGCATTGCAAGAACTTGCACAAACATCATGCATACTTTTACCATGGCTACATCAGGAGTGCTCAAACTTTTCAACTCATATGCTGCATGAACAGTAACTCTCTCCCTGGGGGTCAGTTATCTAAACCTTCTCTAATAGTCAAGAATTGATATGACCAGAGATGAGCTACTGAATTATATTTACTCAAATTGATTATTCACTATCATGCAAATTGGAACCATGGAGTAAGCCTTCCATTTGCACAACTTTCAGAATATCTCTGGCTCTCTACATGTCAGATCTGACCCATGAGTTTTATTTTGAGCACCCCTACTTTTTTTTACTACAAATTTTTAGAAACAATGCCACATTGCATCAATCACATTCGAACAAGTGGCAAGTCTTCATGGAAGCTTGCAACTTTCATTCCAGGGGAAATGATACCATTCTAAGATACAGCATGCAATTTGATGCTGTTTCCATGGTAGACAAGAAGGTCCCTTGTTACATGAAATTATCTAAAGGGCAAAGGGGAAGGAACTACAGAGCATTCCACAAAAAAAGGAGTTATCACATTCGTGCATTACGCAGGGAAAGCTTGATAGCTTGGAATCTATTCATTAGTAGAGTCTTCAATCTTTTTATTATCAGCATGGATCATTGGCAAAAAGGTTCGCAGTCATCTGTCTGTCTCTGATGTCATTTTTGTGTGTGGGATATCCCATTTGTATCTGTAGAATCTGCATTAAATACAAGGTGCCCCAAAAGCTCCTTGTCCCCTATCAACACTGCTGCCATTGTTGAAGCTTTCACAGCACATTTTCCTTGTAGTACTGCTCCAAGTAAACATTTGATTACTGCATTAAAATTAGATAAAATAATATAGCATTAATTCTAAAATTTCTCTGATTTGTTTCTATCAGTTCAATATTAATTGGGGCAACTAACTTTTGGGGCACTCTGTATTTTTCCAATTTACACTTTGCAATTAAGCAATTAAGGTTTTTATTGCATCCAATTTCAAAAGAGGTATTCAATTCATTTAAGTTGCTATAAAAATGTAGAGTTATCTCATTTTTCAGACCTAAGACAAAGTCATTGGTATAACATGTTTCCACCTGATGCATATTCCCTTCACCAATGCTCTCAAGTTTTAAAGCTAATTTTCCCCTAAGTTAATTGTTCTTTTAGTTATTGGCTTATGACATTGGAGACAATTCAAGTATTCCATAATGTTATTTTCAGTGATTTTTAGATCCTTCCCTCTCAGTTCATAATTCTGCAGCCCCCTTCTGTCACGTTTTATAGGGAATGTAATTTGAAATTACCAACATCTAGTTTTCTTACCTGTTTCCCATGTATGAGAAGTGGCTATCACAGAAATGACTGTGAATGTGTGAATGTCAATTCTGTTGATAGAAATGCTCACTGTTTCTAAGACATGCAAAAATAAAAAAGTACGGCATCTGCCTCAGTGGCTAATTAAATTTTTTTCCAAATTGAAACAGATTTCAGTGGTCTCTGCTCATGATTCCCCTCCAGATTATACTTAATGAGTTTTCTCCTTGACATTGATTTCAGGAAAGGAATGTTGCGCTTGTCTTGTCACCACACTTTCACTAAGTTATTTGTTTTAAAAGTCACCAGTCACCATTGTAACTGGGTCCTCAATTTGTCCATTCCATGATAGCAACTCAGATGAGAGACCATCATGATGAAGGTCAATGCAGAAAAATGGCAGCATAATTGACAATGAATGAGAATGTGAATAAAGAAAAAGAACAACAGGTGAAAACTGTCTTCCATGTAGTGGTGGAGATCTTGGAAATATAAGAAAGTTGCATCTGGTTGACATTGATCATCCTTCACTTGATGCAGTTGATCTGGCTTCAGCACAATGAAAAACAGATGGCTTTCTATGCACTGTGGTGCTCAGGTGGTGAATTCCTTGAGGATCTATTGAAAAGGAGGGTATGCAATTTTTGTATTATTGAATAAGAGTAAGAATTTCATATGTTTCAAGGCAAACTCAGATAATTGAGGAATATTCTGCAATTGCAGTATCACTGCAATATCCAGATTGGGAAGGAGTTCTTACTCTATATATTTTCAACATTCATATCTGATTCCTTCTTTTGTCTCAGGTCATTGACAAAATCTGAATCCTTTCACCACACACCCTGAAACATCTCTAACGTTCCTTACTTGTGGAGACCACTATCACAATGGCATTGAAAAACTTTAACCCTTTCGTGCATGAATTTTTAAAGCAAAACAATAATATGCCATTTATGGTTTAACGTTTAAGGAGGTACTCTGCCGTAGTAGTCGAATGTTCTACTGCTAGAAAGCAACACCGAACAGATCATGTGCCTTTGAATGACTGCACGCACCAAAAGTTTCGAGGTATGAGTACCATGACTGAAAACTCAATTATCGCCAAAAATTTTGCCGTCCACTACAGTGGACACCATGCACGAAAGGATTAATGGATGGGTTGCAGACATCCAGAAGTTCTATAGTCTTCACCCTACCATGGGACTGATTGTTACCTCTTCCTCCTCATCTGCAAAACCAGGGATCTGGAATCATTCACAGTGATGGGAAAGTATGAAAAAATACCCCGATGCCAGGTCACTATGGTTCCAAAGTGATATATCTAATTCTGAGATCACCGCAGGGGGAGGAATGGAGATTTAATCTATTCAGTTTTTTTGCGTGTTTACCAGAAATTAATGCCTTTTATTTGCATCCTCTATTGGTCTTCGTGGAATTCCTAAAAAAAAGAGAAGCTCCTTCCCAATGGTCGAAAGATATCTAATTCTGAGCGTGCCTGGGGGGTCGCAAAAGGGGTGCATTTAGCACTTCGAACCCCATGTCAGTAATGCAAAACTGACATGAAGCTTTTCCATTGGGAGCTCGTCATTAGTATGCTACTAACATGTTCTGACTAAATAAAATCATAACTCAGGACCAAGTCAATATCAGAAGACTGACTCGTTATTTTAATACCAGTGGTTTTCACCCCTCAACTGCACAAAGTATTGAATTAAATATTTTGAATACTCTTGATCCATAAGGCATAATTAAAAGAAAAGAAACTGTAGCCCTTTGTCAAACGGGGAGCATGTCCTCCAACTGATTTATTCGGTAAGAAACAGGAGTATGAAGATGAGGTAAAGTTTTCTTGAAAGGACAATGCGTATCCCATACTAGTCCGGCATTAAGGCTCAGAAAAAAGCATATAATATTCCACGAGGCCGGTTTTCATGAGCAATGAGCAAATTTCTGAGACACCATGCGCGAAAATCTAGGGTTTTTTTGCAAGTTTACGTCAACTACGAGGGGCATTCAATACGTTTTTACGAAGCATTTTCACTTTCCAATTGGCAAAGGCTCGGAATACTTTTCTCTCGACATCCGCACGCAACATTGTATCTTCAGCGGCTCAGTGAAGTGTTCCCGGCAATCGGTCCTATACACACTAAGCCTCACAACTGAATCTACAAGA